TCCACCGGCGACCCGTCCCCGACCCATCGTCGACCCATCTGCGATGCAACCCGCGACCCACCTACATTGTTTTAATTGCCCCAGTGCGACCCGACCTAGAAGTTGGAACCCCTAGGAAAGCAGCGTTAGTTGCTATGCTATGCTATGATATGCTATGCCATGCTATGCTGCGCTATGCTATGCTATGCTATGCTATGGTATTTTATGCTGCGCGATGCTATGCTATGCTATACGAAGTTATGATATGTCATACTGCGCTGTGCTATGCTAAGCTATGCTATGCGATGCTACACTACGAAGAAGCTAGGCTAAGCTACGCTAAGCTAAGATGAAAAAAGCTCAGCTAATATGAGATAAGCAACGCTAAGCTAAGGGTACGTAGATGGGGGAACCGCGGGGCGGATACTGGGGGAACCGCCCGGGCCGGTTCCCACTGCCCGGCCCTTTAAGCCAAGAGAGTAAGACCCCCCCCTCTAGGCAGAGCCTAGGTAGGGAACAACAAATCGGCGCCTGCGGCGGGCTCGTTGTATAGCTTGGTTTTTGTCCCAACCATCCTGTGGTGTTGGGTCCTCGTTTTGAAGAGACGTCGCCCCGCGTTCCTTCCTCCTCCTCCTCCTCCTTCCTCCTCCTCCCCTTCCTCCCCCCTCCTCCCCCTCCCACACCCATTCTGGCACACCCCTCACACGTTTCGTGGCCCCATAGGGAGCTCCACCGAAGGCCCCAGTGGCTGCGCCCGCATGCGGTTCCACCCCCCATTCTGGCACACCCCTCACACGTTTCGTGGCCCCATAGGGAGCTCCACCGAAGGCCCCAGTGGCTGCGCCCGCATGCGGTTCCACCCCCCATCCTGGCACACCCCTCACACGTTTCGTGGCCCCATAGGGAGCTCCACCGAAGGCCCCAGTGGCTGCGCCCGCATGCGGTTCCACCCACCATTCTGGCACACCCCTCACACGTTTCGTGGCCCCATAGGGAGCTCCACCGAAGGCCCCAGTGGCTGCGCCCGCATGCGGTTCCACCCCCCATTCTGGCACACCCCTCACACGTTTCGTGGCCCCATAGGGAGCTCCACCGAAGGCCCCAGTGGCTGCGCCCGCATGCGGTTCCACCCCCCATTCTGGCACACCCCTCACACGTTTCGTGGCCCCATAGGGAGCTCCACCGAAGGCCCCAGTGGCTGCGCCCGCATGCGGTTCCACCCCCCATTCTGGCACACCCCTCACACGTTTCGTGGCCCCATAGGGAGCTCCACCGAAGGCCCCAGTGGCTGCGCCCGCATGCGGTTCCACCCCCCATTCTGGCACACCCCATCACACGTTTCGTGGCCCCATAGGGAGCTCCACCGAACGCTCCAGTGGCTGCGCTCGCATGCGGTTCCACCCAGCATTTCGGCACACCCCTCACACGCTTCGTGGGTGGCTCCATGGGGAGCTCCACCGAACGCCCCAGTGGCGGCGCTCGCATGTGGTTCCCCCCCCCCCAATTTCGGCACACCCCTCACACGGTTCGTGGCCCCACAGAGAGCTCCACCGAAGGCCCCAGTGGCTGCGCTCGCATGCGGTTCCACACCCTTTCTCGGCACGCCCTTCACACGTCTCGTGGCCCCATAGGGAGCTCCACCGAACGCCGCAGTGGCTGCGTTCGCATGCGGTTCCACCCCCCATTTCGGCACACCCCTCACACGTTTCGTGGCTCCATAGGGAGCTCCACCGAAGGCCCCAGTGGCTGCGCCCGCATGCGGTTCCACCCCCCATTCTGGCACACCCCTCGCACGTTTCGTGGCCCCACAGGGGGCTCCACCAAAGGTCCCAGTGGCACTGCCCGCTTGCGTCCGCCACCACCCAGCACAGCCCTTGTTCCCTGCGCGTCACCCACCCAGTACAGCGCTTCGTAGCCCTATAGGGAGCTCCATCAAAGGTCCCAGCGGCACCGCCCGCATGCGTCCGCCACCACCCTGCACAGCCCTTCCTGCCTGCGTTTCACCCACCCAGTACAGCGCTTCGTGGCCCCGTAGGGAGCTCCACCGAAGGTCCCAGTGGCACCGCTCGCATGCGTCCGCCACCACGCAGCACAGCCCTTGCTGACCGCGTCTCACCCACACAGTACAGCGTTTCGTGGCCCCATAGGGAGCTCCACCGAAGGGCCCAGTAGCACCGCCCGCATGCGTCCGCCACCACCCAGCACAATTGCGGCATTCACAACTGCATATGGTTGAGTCCTTCGCCAGGCCAATTTCAACGCAATCTTTTGGGAGAAAAAGGAGGGGCATGAGGGAGGGGGCGACCGCAACACAAATCGAGTAACCTGTGCACTCCGTGTCGATCCGAAACAGAGACCAGTGGCTTAAATCACAGCAACATCCCAGAAGTAAAAAACCACCGGCGAGAAGAGAAGAGGGGCAAGGGAAGCAAGGAGGACGAGGAGGAGGAGGAGGAAGGAGCGGACGAGGGAGAGGAAAGAAGGGGAGGGCAGTCCCGACCCTGCTAGGGGACGGACAAAGGATCCTAAGCAAAGCCTCGGACCCACCTGCAAAAACACTGAAGGGGAGGAGGAGGCGAGGGGCGCAGAGGCGGGAGGAGAGGAGGACGACGAGGGAGGAAACAAGTGGCGCTACCCTACAGAAGCGGGGGCACGCAACGAAAATGTCACGAATTACGGCCTTCTAATGCGGAAGGAAGACGAGGACAAGAAGGGAGGATGAAGGGGGAGAAAAGGGGGAGTAGGGAAGTATTTCTGCGCTTAGAACCTGAATCAAACTATGCTCTCGTAACCGACGGGAGCAGCGTCGACCCTGAAGCGAATAGGTCGAGCTTTGCGAGGTGGCCCAACCCACGACGCCAAGTCAAGCGGCAACGAAATGGATCAGAGGTGGTGAAAATAACAAATGAAAGATGCCATGCTACCGCGACAAGCAAACGACCGAGAGGAGGAGGAGGAGGAGGAGCAGGAGGAGGAGGAAATGCGAGCAGTTATCCCTCACGACGAACGCCTTCTGACGGCGCGCCGCTCCTCTGCGGGCGCCAGCGCACGCGGCCGGGAGCGAGACCGAGCAAGCAAGCTGTCCAGCGGCTCCGCCGCGCAGGCGTCGCGGACGGCCGCTTTGAAAACGGCCCCGGCATCCGCAACTTCGACCACGCGGTGGCGGATCGCCGAATGCGCCCTGTACAGTGCGTAGTGGCAAACGGCCCGAAGAGCGTCGAGCTCTTGCCGCGTGCGCGCCGCCCCTGCTCGCGCGGAGCTCGCGGAAGCACACAGGCCCAAAAAATTAGGCAGGCACTGAGACGTTGCCGGCCGCGACAGACAACAATGCTCCTCACTCCACCTGTGGTAGAAGCTGCAACGGGCGTAGCGATTGATGCTGTCCACGCCCCGAGCGCACCCGAAATGCGGCCTGCGGCGGGCTTCTTCAAAGCGTCGCAGACTGCCGACGTCCCTGCCGCCCCTCACTCTTATCCGCAACTGCGGGGTGTTATAGATCCTCCTTGGAGGCGCGCGTCCGACCCGAACATATAGCACACCCATCTTGTAGTATATCGTGCCCCGAACGGTGTGGCCAGAAACCGTCCGCCACGACGCATCTGCTGTAAGATTTCTCGGTGGCAACGCACATATAGTATAAGTATGTTGGGGTGATGCCGATTATACCTCGGTCAGACTGTACCGTTGCCCCCGAACCCGTCCCCTTCGCAACGCTGCCCCCGGGGGGGGAGCGCCTAGAACGTTCCCGACCAAGGCCGCGGAGGCGGAGCCCGCGTGTGGGGCCAGGGCGCCACTCCCGAGGGCTGCGCGGCGCACGACCGGAAAGAGCGCACGCTTTACATCGCGGCGCGGATGAATCGATCCGCTCGCCCGTCGAGCAGCCCGGGCTGTGGCGTTGCGAAGAGTCCCGCATGCCAGAGGGGGGGAGGGCCAGACGAGGGCCGAAGCGCGCACGCACGCGCGTGATTCTTCGGATCCTGGCAAGTTTGCTCGCATGGAGGGGGAGGGGGTGGAGGGGGAGGAGGAGGAGGGCGAGGGGGAGGAGGAAGGCGGAGGAGAAGGAGAATTTCTCCCTAATCCCCTGACCCTGCATTCTCCTCCTCCTCCTCCTCCTCCTCCTCCTCCTCCTCCTCCTCCTCCTCCTCCTCCTCCTCCTCCTCTTACCTCTTACCTGTCAGAGAGGCGAAATCCACATTGCGGAGCCCCTATGTACAGCTCAGCCCAACGCGACGGAGGACAGGTCGAAATCCTCGTTCACAGCCCCAACCTCCTCCACGCATGCCAACAGAGGTCCCGGATGCTGCACACCACGCCAAGGAACCACGAAGGTCATACGCAAGAAGGCGTCACTGTGAAGGGGACCCCAGCCGCTCCGTGCTGAACTCATGAGCCAGAAAACCGCCACTCTCACCTTACCCAACGCCGATGTTGGCCCAATCGATCAGCGGCCCTGCGGGGATGGCTGGCCGCTCAGCCATCGGCATCTCGAGAATGGGAGCTTCACGCTCATCTGGCCGCCTCAGCAGAGGTCGCAGACATTCAGACTCCACTGCGACGGCCGCCACAGGAGTGCCACGCGTCGAAAGGGTCGAAACCACCGCCTCCACACCATGGCCCCCCCCCTCCTGCGGCAAAAGCACCGCGCCACCATTTCCACCATCAACGCTCGCACGGGTTGGATACCAACCCCAGGCGGAAATGGGATATGGCATTTCCGTAGCTGACGATGACTGGGCTGTACCACCGAGAGCTCCGCCATTTCTCGCATGGGGCCCATACCCTCCCCAGGCGGCTTTGGGAGATGGCTTGACTGTTGCTCGCGCCGACTGGGACTGCACCACTGCCTCCGACGCAGCACCTGCTGCAACAGTAGCGTTGTGCAACTCATCGTGGTCCTCGACCTTCGCCTCAACGGGGAAATTCTCGACAAGTTCAAAGATTGGCTCCTCAGGGAGGGGCATGTGGGTTCAGGACAGTCTGGCCTTCCCTGGATTCCAGCCTTGTGGACTTCTGGAACTGCTTCAGAGACGCCACGGGGCCGTCGCTAAAGAGACTCCGGAAGCCTTGGCATGCATCGCGACATTCCGCCGAAGCACATCAACGTCTGCCGGCTTTAGTCCAGCCGCAAGTGCCTGCAATACTGGAACCACACAACTGATCCGGTCGGCAACCTCGGGATCTCCAATCAATAGCTCCAGCACTCGCTGAAACTGGAGGAGCTGGTGGCGTGTGCCGATGAGCTCGCTGGAGCTTCTCTTAATGGCGTTGTCTGCGGACCATCTGGCCCAATCACGGCCCGCTCGCCGCTGGGCCGCGGTGCGCGCCATCCGCGCCATCCCGTACGCCAACCATACCTCGGACAGCAAGATTCGCACCTCCAGTCGCTCCAGCCGCGGGGGACATCACCATGCTGGCTTGAGCAATGGGGCTTCCACTCGCTGCTGAGTGGCATGAGTCAAAATGGCTACGGACCTCCTCCTCCTCCTCCTCCTCCTCCTCCTCCTCCTCCTCCTCCTCCTCCTCCTCTCCCTCCTCCTCCCACTCCTCCTCCCCCTCCTCCTCCCCCTCCTCCCTCGACCACTCCGCACAGGGGAAGGAGAGCGACGACGAATCGCACCCTCTTCTCTCCATAGCCTTGCGGATCATGACTGTGGGAGGGACCTGTGGATCTTGCACATGAGCGCCATCGCTACGGATCGGGAGAAAATGCCCCCGAAACGTGCAGCTAGAGCCGCCCGATGCTGCGACGGAAAGCGTCGAGCTCGTCCGGAATCGGGACCTGTCGCTAATTCTCGCGCCTTGATCCATGTTTGCGCTTCCTCGAGCGTGCCACCTCCCCCTCACCGTGCGCGCCCCAAGGCGCCCCATGGAGGCATCGAGGCAGGTACCGCCAGGCGCTGCAGGGAAGAGTCCTGGCAGGTAATCTCCTGGCAAATGCCCTTCGTAGGTTGGTGCGCGAGGTTTTCTCGCATCAAGATGTTTGCCAGCAACTGCGCTTCGCTGAGAGCGCTCTGGGGGTGCCCGGGTCATCCCGAACAGCTGCTGGAAGTCCGAGCCTTGGCCCAAAAACCATACCTCTAATGTATGAGAACGTGCAGCATGTTCGTGCCACCGTGCTGACCGCTCGACGTTTTGAACGTATAGAAATTTGCTAAGTCCCGAGATCCAGACCTCCAACGTGATACAAAATGCAGCATGTTCGGCAAACAATTCTGACACCATGTTGATAGTTTACCCTTCCGAGGTTGTCGGCTATCCGATCGCAAGATCGTTCCATATTGGCCGAGTCTGGGCCACAGGCAGCGTTCAACCATGAACGCCCGCCCTCGGCCACAGAGAGCCCTCACCAAGGGCAGCTGGTTCCGGAGGAGGAGTCGAGACCTCTGGGGGGCAACATTGTGAACAAAAAGCATGATGCGTTCGCGGGCCTGTGGAAGCGGAAGAGCAGGGGGGAAACTAGAAATCAAGACCCGCATTGGCGAACCTTTAGGGATAGAATACATGTCCCTCTTCTGGTCCAGCACCCGGACCGCCTGGATCCTCGATGAGTACGGGCTCTCGTCCAAAGCCCTCTGTTCGCACATCCTTATAGGCTGTACACAAAGCCTGAATCGGGAACAAATTGCACACCACCACTGGCATGACGGGTCTGTCCACAATTCCACCTGCACGTGAACACGCGCCTAATCCGCGATCCCATCCTGCCTCATATCGACTTCCTTCTCTCCTCCTGCTCCTCTGTCCGAGGGCAGGGCCATTCGAACCACCAACATGTCGCTTAGCATAGCGACTGGTCTCACTCACGCATCTCCTACTTCAGTTTCTCACTCCTCCTCATCCTCCTCATGCTCCTCCCCCTTCGCATCCTCTGACCACATGATACTTATCTCCAGGTAGGGGGGCGGGGGGTGGATGGGGAGAGAATATCCGGTGGGTCCGCAGGCCGTCGCGTAGCTGCGCGTCCAGATGGCACCACTGCCACGGTCTGTCCAGAGGCTAGTCCTCCTGAGTGGAAACGCTTGTTCTTCGACGACAGCAGGGAGGAGATACAGAGAAAGAGAAAGAGAGAGATTTCATTTTGAAAGTTAGCCAGCGTGGATCCCAAACAACGTTTGCTTGCAATCCATGCGGTGCAATCTAGGTTCTGCAATCAATGTGGTGCAATCTAGGTGGAGCCATACAGCTGGTGCAATCCACGTGGTGCAGAGCAATGCAAACCAATGCCATGAAATACGAAGCGAGTTAATGCAACGCAAAGCAATGCAAAGCAATGAAAAGAACTGCAAAGCAATGCACTGCGATTGCGGTGAAATGCAATGCAAGTGCAGTGCAATGTAGCGCGATTGCAATGCAATGCGGAGACGAGGCGGCGGCGACGGGCAGCGACGGGGCGGCGACATGAGGCGACGAACGGCGACGAGGCGGCGACGGGGTGACCACAAGCGAGCCGGGGCGGTATACGAGCCCGCGACGAGGCGGCAACGGGCGGCGACGATCGGCGACGGGGCGGCGACTGGGCGACAACCAGCCAGCCGGGGCGGCACACGAGCCTATTTCCATGAAAGGCGAATATGACCCCCCAAGTGCAAGCATTGTTTGGGGAATACTATGATTTCGAAATGCATCTACATAGGGAGGGGGGGTTATAGAGGGGCTAGACGACGTGACTATGGCCAATATAGAAGCGCAGGCGAACAGATGGGAGCAAACACCATTTCCGACCATCCACTTCTCTGTCTGACCAGTGGTGTGGATTCCTCTGTGGATTTCCCTGCCTCCTCCTCCTCATGATTCCTCATCCCTCCACCTACTCTTCGTTTGCCCCTCCTCTTGTTTATACCCTTCACCGCCTCATCTTCCGCATGATCGGGCACCTCGGGTCATCGCAAGTGCACCATGCTATGAACACTGCATACGGCGCCTCCTCATTTCTCCTGCTCCTCCAGTCCTCCCGCACTCCGACTCCCAGCTTCCATGCAGATCCCTCGGCTCATACATGCACAGTGCTCTAATGTCCGATGTCGGGCCAGCGTCGGAGCCGACGCCAACTATCACGAACGACTTCGGGGAACACGGCGGCCTACAAGAGGACTTCCCCTGGCAAAAGACATGCGACATGCGCTGCGACAGATCAGATGTCAGCCCATCCCCGGCAACCCTAGACGCAAGTCTGAATGGTGCTGCCCACACCGGAAAACATACGGGGGCCCCGTGCCCAGTGGTGCCCCACCCATCAACAGCTTCTCGTCCTCTGTCACGAGAACCTGATGGATACGATATGCCTGTTTGCGGATGGAAGGGAATATTTCTGAAGTTTCCCGCCTTTGGTCTATGCCGATGAAGGGAAGAATTGATTGGACCGTGATCCTGTTCGACATCCTCCTCCTCCACCTCCGCCTGCTGACGCTGACGTTGCTGGCACATCTATTCAACGGGGTGAGTCCGCCTTTTATTTTTCTTTCTTCACCTCCTTCTCCTTCTTCCCCCTCCGTCTCCTCCTCCATCTCCGCCTCCTACTGCTCCTCTACTTTCTCCTCATCATCCTCCTCCTCCGCCTCCACCCCTTCCTCCTCCTCTTCCTCCGCATCTGCCATCTCTTTCCCTTACAAATAACTTCTCCTTGCCGCACCCCGAGGCCAATTTTTAGGACGGGCCGGGCGTTTCGCCTGAGACTTCCTCACCGTTTGTGATCCTGACGCTCAAGCATTGGCAACAGTTTCACATATGGAGGGCGAGTCGTTTTCAAAATGTGGCCCTCGCCTGAGCGCCACGCACGTTAGTTTGTGGTTTTCAAAATGTGGCTCTCGCCTTAGCGCCGCGAGCATTCGTTTAAACATGTGCACGAATTTCCCGGATTCAGCGCGGGTCGTTTTCAAAATGTGGATCTCGCCTGGGCCCCGCGAAAAGTCGATTAAACAACTGCAAGAGCTTCACGGATTGAGGGCGGGTCGTTTTCAAAATGTGGCTCTCGCCTTAGCGCCGCGAACAGTCGTTTCAACAACTGCAAGAGCTTCACGGATTGAGGGCGGGTGATTTTCAAAATGTGGCTCTCGCCTTAGCGCCGCGCGCACTCGATTGAAACATTTGTAAGAGTTTCACGGGTTGAGGGCAGTTTCTGTTCAAAACGTGGCTCTCGCCATATCGCCGTGCACATTCGTTTGGTGCATTTGCAAGACTGTCACGGGTTGCCGTGATGAACGTACCAACCATGGTGTTTTGGATGGGGTTCTGGACTATGGGGGTGCAGCAATTACGTTGGCTCACGGTGTTGAAGTCCGGGGAATGGCGTTCTGGCGCGATTCAGGATCGTGTAAGCGTAACTATCAGGTTGTGGCGTTGGAATCCTGAGAACAACTCTTTGGCATGCTTCGGGGTCTTCAAACAATTGTCTTCCAACGAGACAGTTCCCTCAGTGGGAATGGGCCATTGTAGGGGCCTAAGAAGAGGGAGCTTGGAGAAAGCCCGTCTTCCAGCATCGTTGATCACTCTTGGGGTTACACTGGTCATCGTCCTCCTCCTCCTGCTCTTCCTCCTCCTCCTCCTGCTCCTCCTCCTCCCCTTCCTACCTCTCCCTCCACCTTCTCCTACTCCACCTCCTCCTCCTCCTCCTGATCCCCCGCTTCCTCCTCCTGATCCACCACCGCTTCCTCCACCTCCTCCTCAACCTCCTCCACCTCCTCCTCCGCGCAGATTTGAACACATTGGCTCCTATGCTGCTCTCTCTCTCCCTTGATACGGTGTCGTGCGGAGGCACCCGCCTCCCGCATACTGCTGGTTATCCCTCTCACGCACGCAAGGTGTTAAGCATGTGCTGATCTTGTGTGCTTGCCAATCGGACGGATGTCGGCCCTAACACAGAAGCTGTTCTCGCTGCAGCTTTGGCTGCGGTCGGGGATATCGGCGCTGTGCTCCCGTCGCTCATACTGGCGCTCCCGCCCCAGCGCGGGCCACACTTCTGGATCAGGGTCGTCCCTCGCCGTTACGGCCCACCCTCCTTTGTCTCCCCTCAGCCTGACCATGGTCTTCCTGCTGGTCCTTCTGATCCTGCTGCAAATCTCTCCCTCCTTCCTCATCCTCCTGCTCCTGCTCAACGGTCTGCTCCCCCTCCTCCTCCTCCTCCTCCTCCCCCTCCTCCTCCTTTTCCTCCTCCTCCTCCTCCTCCTCCTCCTCCTCCTTTTCCGTGTCCGCACGATGGGGCCAGTTGGGTTATCACTTTCATCAAGGTCACCCTAGCCAGCTGACGTATATGAAGAACCCACCGCAATTGAATGGGATAGGTGGGACGGATCGGGTGCCAGGTTTGGCGCGACCACACCCAGCTTGTCATCCTCCCTTT